ACCTCATAATTTTGAAAAATGGCAAGCACTTATCCGCTGACCTCGAGATAAACCGATGCAGAGCTGCCACCCTTCCAGTCAACCTCTGTATATCTTTAACTGACTTCGGCGGTTCCATCTCAGCAATTGCTCTGATCTTCTCTGGATTGACCTCAATCCCTCTTCGGGACACCATAAAACCTAGAAACTTTCCAGACTCCACTCCGAAGATGCACTTGGCTGGGTTTAACCGCATCCGATTTTTTCTGAGATTGTTAAAGGTTTCGTCGAGGTCGGCTAGATGGTTTTCTGCCTTCAGACTCTTTACCACAATGTCATCCACATACACCTCCAAATTCTTGCCGATCTGAGCTCGAAAGACTATGGTCACCATTTTCTGATAAGTAGCACCTGCGTTCTTTAAACCGAATGGCATCATGACATAACAATAAATTTCATCGCCAGCATAGAACGAGGTCTTCTCTTCGTCTTCGGGAGCCATCGGCACCTGGTGATACCCAGAATATGCATCCAAGAGGCTTAACCTCTCATTGCTTGAAGCCGCTTCAACTAATTTGTCAATGCTCGGCATCGGATAGCAATCCTTGGGGCAGGCTTGGTTAAGATTTGTGTAATCAATGCACATTCGCCATTTACCATTTACCTTCTTCACTAGAACTGGGTTAGCCACCCATTCGCAGTAATCAACTTTCCTGACAAAACCAGCTTGTAGGAGCTTCTCCACCTCTTCCTTGATAGCCTTAAGCCTCTCCCCCCCGAAGAGGCGCCGTTTCTAGGCCACTGGTTTCTTCATTGGGTTGGTACTGAGCTTATGTTGACATACTGAAGTTGGAATTCCTGGCATATCTACCGAAGTCCATGCAAATACATCATTGTTAGCTCGGAGAAAAGCTATCAGTTCTGCTCTCTCCTCTGGGTTCAATCTAGTTCCGATCTGCGTCTTTCGGCTCGGATCTCTATCATCAACAAGCACTTCTTCAACATCTTCGACCGGAGCAGCTCTGGTTTCATCATCCGGTCGATTATCAACAATCTCTACACCCATAACTTGCTGATTATCAGGGATTTGCTGAGGAATGACCTCGGGTGTCTTATCTTTGCCCTTCGTTGGTTGTGTTATCGAGGTGATGTAACAATGTCTGGCCACCTCTTGGTTTCCTCGTAGTGCAGTGTTGCTATTCCCATAGGAGTGGGGAATTTCATGCAGAGGTGAGATTGGGAAACCACAGCTCGGATTTCGGTCAATGTGGGTCGGCCAATAACAATGTTGAAAGAAGAAGCCATCTTGACGACGAGGAACCGGACTGAAGGGGCTACATAGGTCCGGCCACTCCCAAAAGCCACATGGAGGGTAAGAACTCCTTCTACCGGAACAGGTTGGTTGTTGAAACCATAGATAGGACCATCATACTTCTGCAACAATGCTGGGTCTAGTCCCAGACTCTCGAAACAGTGGAAATACATGATGTCTGGTGCACTCCCGGTGTCAACAAGGACACGTTGTACTTCACAGTTATTGATCATGACAGAAGTGACCAAGGGATCATTGTGGGGTGTAACAACTGTGTCGAGGTCAGCAGATGTGAAAGTAATGGGTTGATTCTTCCACTCAGCATCGTCAATCTTCCGCTTCTGAGCTCGGTTCTGATGCTTAACCTCTCTGACATACAGCTTTCGCTGTTTAGAGCTCAGTCCTCCTGCTTTAAGGCCTCCCGTAATCATATGTATGATTCTAGCCGGTGGTGGGAGCGGAGGTGGGGCTTGCTGATATCCCACACCTTGTCTATTTGGGGGATTGCGGACGCCTTGAGGCTGCGGCCTCTGCTCTCTAACAAACCTTGGCTGTTCAGCTCTCTGAACATACTCATTCAGCATTCCCTTCTGAGCTAAACTTTCCAGTTCGAACTTTAAGCT